GAGAGAGAGAGAGAGAGAGAGAGAGAGAGAGATGCAGAGCGTATGTAGAGCAGGGGAATGCGAGGAACAGTATTAAGAACTGCTGCTTTAGAACACTGATTTTGAAACTTGTGCATCCATTAGAATCGTTAGAAGACAGAATCGCGATTCATATATGAATAGATTTTTACGTGCACCTCTAGTTTTCTCTTCCTCTTCTCTAAAGCAGCACAGCATGGCCTCACTCATTTTTCTGCCTTTTCGCGAGGGCGGGGTTTATCTGGGTTTCTTTACGTCACGAACCCGGGAAGTAACTTCTTGTTGTAGTCCCTACCAGCCGTTTTTGTAGGCATTAAACTGCCAGAATTTTAAAAGACGATATCTCCGTTTGCATTGAACTTTCAGCTTCGTAACTTTGCAGATATTGTTTATGCTCAAACAGCAACATTACACACTTAACTAACATTTAAAAAGTGAAATCGCAATCAACCACCCCTTTAAAATAGGCTACTCCATCATTTTTGGTCATTCAGATTAGTGGTCAACCGATATTGTTTTTTTGATAGCCGATGCCGATATCTTGGAAAGCAGGGTGGCCGATGACCGATATAAAGCCGATATAATTTTATTTAATACTTAAGAAATTTGAAATAATTTGAAAATGGATTAAAAAATAAATGTGTAAAATAAACATGCTTATACTTTAAATGACAAAGTTTTTTTCACAAATAAACAAATATTTAATACAAATATAATTAAAAAAAAGAAGTTAACACTGTAACCAACAGGGCACTCAGTATTCTGGGAAGTTTGTGTGCATTGGGAATCACATTTTTTTAAATAAAGTCAAGGTAACAATCATTTTATATACTACACACCGTGAAAATGACATGAATATGACACTGGGCAAAAGCATGAAGCGCAGCATAATTTGAAATCACAAGTTTAAATTTTGTCGATTGCGCGTCTCAGTGAAGCTGAACTCTCCTCCTTGTCCGTATTCAATTCGCATGGACCGACCATTATCATGCAGAGTACACGCGATCGTGCAGGACACAAATGCACACTTCATAAGATCTCACAGCTGGATTCGACTAAGTTTGCAAGGTTTTTGAAATTAGATGTTCATTAGTCATTCAAAGATTTGTTTAAATTATATAAATGTGTATTTGCTGAATGCTGACGGCAAACGAGAAAGTATTATAATGTTTGCCTTTCTATTACTAACAATATAAAAGCAATCGTTATAATACCTCGTTATTTTAATTTCTTTGTTTAACAGTTCTATCTGATTATCCGTGGACAGAACTATTAACGACGATAGCGAACAAGAGGGAGAATGTAAGCACTGTATTCAGGCACTGCCGTTCTCAGCGATAATAAAAGTCTGGTGTGCCGTCAAAATAAAAGTCCCGCCACAAATGCATCGCCCAAACAGAAAAACTTAACGGCTGACGCCAATATTTGAAAAATGCCAAATATCGACCGATATATCAGCCTTGGCGATATATCGGTCGACCACTAATTCAGATAAGAGTAATAAATCTTTTAAAATCTGTAAAGACTTTACGTTTATTTGTGTGCACTCACTATAACAACAAAACATTGCACTTTTGTAAAATAATGAAAGCAAACAGGATGCGCTTTCTGCCGTCTCGGTCTGTGAACTTGATCACGAAACTCCATGTAGCTATATCTTTGTCTTACAGACATTAAAAATATATCTATAGAGTGTCTATTTTCAAATGAACCAATTCAAATAGAAAACAAATATTCTCAGATTATGTAATACGTATGAAACAATGTGCATCACTACTGCGGAGATGATGAGTCAGTGTCGCCGAGTTCATCTCTTAAACCGAGAACAAAGAAAGCACTAGTTTATCAAATTATTAACACGTTAATGTAGTCTCCTCACTGTTTTTCACTGACACATTACTTCTGCCGGTGCGCTGTGGCAAGCTTTATGCGTGTGCTTGAGCACTTAGGGCTATGTAGGCAATTAAAGGCTCATTATAATAATTTAAACAGTTTATTAATAAATGTGCGATTAGTCGACTAATGCTTCAAATGAACGACTACTAGTCGACCAGAAAAATCCTTAGTTGAGGGCAGCCCTAGTGATGGCAAAGCTGAACTTTTAGCAACCATCATGCCTTCAGTGTTATTAATAAGTTGTGTCACTAATATAAATTTCATATCATCATCAATGTTAAAACCAGTTGTGCTGTTTAATATTTTATATTATATGCAATATAATAAGTTTATATTAAGTGCAATAGATCAAAGATCTGGGCCTGAAAGGTGAATACAGTACCTACTGTACATTTTTAGGAATGGGAAAGCTTACTATTCTTAACAATGGTGGTTACGGCCATTTGCTATGTGCCCAAATAAATTTGGGGCCTTGTACGTCCTAACATCAGCACAAAATCACAAGACGCCAGACATTACGGCATTTCTTTGGCCATAAAAGGAAAGAACGGGCCATGAGGATACTATAATAATGACATGAATAATGAAAGCATTGGGAAAGTTTTTAAAGGCCTTTTGCAGATGCACCTACTGTATTACGTACCAGTCAGTCGAGGCTCCTTGTGGTGAAAGAGTTTTGTCCTTGTGTCTGCCTCTACCTAAACAAAACACACACGAAAAGAACAAGTTAGAAACTCCACTCAGGCTCTCCAGCCCTCTCAACTGCTGAAGCATTTCACCGCTTGAAGAGATTGTGTGATGGTGAAACAAAAGTATTAAACTTTGTTCTGCTAAACTGAGTGTTCTGCCTTGAAACTATAATTTTGCTTTATTTAAACCAAAAGATGGACATTGTGTAGACTTTTCTGTCCATAAACAACTTGAAACACTCTTAATCTCCTTCACAGAACTTATCATTGCATCTGTAAATTGTACGGTACTTAAAATGTCACATCTGGAGTTTATGAGTGTAAGCATGCAGAATGGAGAGGATTCTCTCAGCTTTATCAGAACTTTTGGCAAGCTCTGATTCTCCTCAACAAACCCAGTGCTAAGTCTTATATCATCCTTCTTAGAACTAGATTGGTAAACCATGTCATTTGTGAGTAGTTTTGGGAGATTTAGACCACTGTCCCATTGCTACAGATCAAACCAGATGAGATTTAGGAGACGCGGTTGTATATGTGTTCGTTGGAACATTGCAGGGACGTGCTGGAGAGACATGGTTGTATAGTCTGAGAGAACATTGGGATCTTTCATTACATGAGCTGAGCCTCATTGTAAGTTTCTAATCTTGCACGCTGCCATGTATAATCCGCCGAGAAAACTTGGATGTCATCATCCAAGTTTAGCATGCAGCGTGAAGTCCTCTGCGAAGGGGAAATAGAACATGTTTGACGGCTAAACCATAGATGAACATACATGGAGCTCTTTTAGGTCGGTCACGTAACCGTGATGCTTGCGAATCAGGGCCAGTAGTTCTCCGATCACTGAGATGTGTCGGACCACCCTGGTGCTATACTTGAGGGGGAGGGAGGGTTTACACTCAGAGGATTGTGGAGATGTCTGTACAACACGTTTAGATGAGGTCAGACCCAGAATAAGACAATAGACAGCGGGATTCGAGATAAATCTCAACACTGTGACTGCGTGTGTTTGTATGATGGGCAGGTGTGACAATAAATAATCATTATTTTGGAATATTTCTTCAAAAAAAAAAAATATTATATATATATATATATATATATACACACACACACATACATACATACACATATATATATATATAAAAAATAAGATTTCTATTTTGAAAAAATATTGAAAAAATATTGAAAAAATGTTAAGCAGCTAGATAGATAATAAATATTATCTATGTGACACTGAAGACTGTAGTAATGGCTGATGACAATTCAGTGTTGTATCACAGAAATAAATTCTACTTTACAGTACATTCAAATAAAAAACTGTTGTTTTAAATTGTGATAATATTTCACAATATTACTGCTTTTATTGAATTACTGATCAAATAAATGCAGCATTAATGAGCATAAGAGACTTCTTTAAAAACATTAAAAATCTTACTATATAATCTTACTAAAAATCTTAAATTTTATATACAGAGATGTAAATATTATATACATACATACAATTTAAATTAGCTACAAAATGAATTAGTAGCCTTTTTATAAACATTATTATTACAAAAGATTTTTAAGATCATGACAAACAAATTCAGTGGAGTGAGTCCAACTTTCGGCTGGTAGTGTACAACCGTGGGCGCGTACTTTAGACACAAAAACAGTGTGTATGTGTTTTTATAATGCCATTTTTCTGTGCTCGGAGCCTACAGGTAGGAGTGTGTGTATGTTTGTTTATATGTGTGTGTGTATGTGTACATATCGTTCCTAGAAACGTGTAAATGCGAGTGTCAGCGCACGGGCCCTGCTTAAAGCGCGGTCTTATTTACTCCTGTCAGCCCATAAAGCCAGCCTGAGTGCCACGCTGATTGAAATCCCCTTTTGTGTGCTAGTCTTCAGTGATGTGGCTTTTCTCTCCCCCTCATCTCATGATGGAAGCCTGTACTGTTAATCTGAGAGTGGCCACTGAAAGGACGAAATGAGTTCCTGGGCTGAATGCACTCTTTACCTCCTCTGTCTTGGTCTATTCAGACGTGGGGCGTGAGAGCTGGCGGCTAACACCTCCACAACAATACACAGCAAAGCAATGCAAACCTTCCTTACACAAACTACTCTGTCTCTAGGAGACTTGTTTTTCCCACATTATCTTCTTGCTCACAAAATAGCAGCAACGTCTTCCATTATGGCACCTCAGAATACAGAAGATATGTACTAGGATCAAAATAAGAGTGAATAATAGCAACGACAAAGGGGCAGAAAAAATTTATCTGTGTGGCTTATCTGAACATTAAGAAGAAACAATCGGTCACACTTTATTTTAAGGTCCAATTATTGCTATTAAAGGGGTCATATGATGCGATTAAAATTTTTCCTTTTTCTTTGAAGTGTTACAAGCTCTTGGTGCATAAAGAAGATCTGTAAAGTTGCAAAGACTAACGTCTCAAATCCAAAGAGATATTCTTTATAAAACCACGCCTACCTAAAACGGCTCGTTCTAACACGCCCCTAACATGTCTACGTCACTATCTGGGAATATTTGCATAACACCGCCCAAATGTTCACGCAAAGAAAGAAGGCGTAACTTTTATTCTTGCTGTAGTATTGTTGCTGCCGCTGCCATGTTGTGGAGACGCTGTGTTTCGGTGTGAAAGCGAAACTACTTTGTTTGGCCTTCCAAAAGAGGACGATATCCGCTTCGTCATGCCTAGAGCTGATCCGTGCTGGTCGCTGAGGAAATACATCAACTTCGCGCTGTGGATCGCCAGATCGGCTTTCACCGTGGACGAAGCAGAGTCCAGCCCGGGGTCGTCACATGTGGTTGCTGCAAGTCCGCCGGCCGCGCCGTTCTCAAGCCCACCGGCCTCCGCTCACTCAGCCCGCCGGCCATTCCTCACTCAAGCCGCTGGCCTCAGCTCACTCTAGGCTGCCGCCGTTCACTCTAGCTCACCGTGTGTGACGCTGTTTCGTTGTGAAAGCAAAACTACTTTGTTTGGCCTTCCAAAGAGGACACGACTAGAAATCAGTGGTTAAGTTGTATTTACAACACTGTTCCAGAACACTTCAACCCAAATATTCAGATGTGTGCAGCACATTTTATGGAGGACTGTTTCCTGATCCTGGAAGAGTAGACTACAATGCCGGCTGTTCTGACTCACAGAATGTAAGTACGTTTTTTATATTTAAAGTATTTGCCACTGACGATTCAAACGTGAGTTTTGGGCAGTGTAGAGTAGCCCTTGTTGTATATCATTTCTCCGATCTACGTGATGCATCGCGTAAAAAGACAGTACAATTATAATCCGTAATTATGTCCCCACTGGATGCAACAAATGCCTCGTTTATAAATGGGTTTTAATGTTTTTGTCTCGTCGCTCCGGCTGGGACATTTCCGTCACACGCTTGAGGTATTCGGCCAATCACAACGCACTGGATAGCTGGCCAATCACAGCACACCTCGCTTTTCAGACCGATGAGCTTTGTAAAAATAGATTTGTTTCAGAAAGGCGGGGCATAAAGGAGAAACAATAATGTACAGTATGTGGAAAATAATGTGGTTTTTTAACCTTAAACCGCATAAACACATTTTATTACACCAAATACACAAAATAATGTTCTTTTTAACAACATAATATGACCCCTTTATTAAATAATTAACTACGTCTTTTGCCTCAAAAAACTCCTAATTTGCTGCTTATTAATAGTTAGTAGGTAGTTGTTAAGTTTGGGTAGGATTAGGGATGTAAAAATGATCATGCAGAATATATGCTTTATAAGTACTAATAACCATCCAAAATGTTAATAATAGTCATGCTAATAAGCAACTAGTTAATAGTAAAAATTGGTCCCTATACTGAAATGTTACCAAACAATTATTAAGCATCTTTTTGTGAAATAATAAGGTACAGGTAGAAAGATAAGGTACATGTATCATGGTATTTTCACAGTACTACCTGTGTATGTGTATAATACAAGTGTATACTTGATATAAAGGGTTTGGTCAAGCATAATTAGTGCAAGATATTCAGTAGACATTAGCTGGGTTCACATTTTCTGAAAGATTTTTTCATACAGTACCATATGCTTTGCTTTTTAAGTTAGTATACCGTTACTTTGGTACTAAAATGCTTCTGTGAATAAAAAAAAAATACATACACAACAAGAAAAAAATTTTTCAGGTCAACTTCCTAACGGAAGCCACATTGTCAGGGCCATGGCCTAGCGTTTAGCACATGTGCTCATAATTTCCTGTCACTGCTAGTGCTACATGTCTGTAGCATGTGTGCTAACTGCTAGGCTTCACTATTAACAACTTCGAATATCCCAAACCTTCTGTATGATAATTTATGTATGATACAATACTAAATGCAGATTAGCAAACATCTGGTACAAATGATTAGCAAAATCAGTCTGACTGGAAACCTGGTCAAGCAGCTCAGAAGCTGTGCGTATCGATGGACCCCATTAGAGAGCGAAAAAGAAGAATATCTCGTTGTTGGGGTGGAATTCCCCTCTGAAACGAGATAAGTCGGGTCCTTTGTTCTCTGGCCTCTGTGACAGAGAGCTTACATAATGCAGTCATAGAAAATGGGGACTATGTCAGGCCATAATGCAAAGTGGGCCTGTGGCCTGTTTATTTGTTGGAATGGAAGGATGGAAAGATGAAGGAACTGAGTTGAAGAGAGAGCGATCATACGACCGTTGTCTTACATAAGGCCCAGAAAGGATGTGTGAAACTGAGCATCATGGCTCATCCACGCAGATAAAGAGATCAGGAAACATGAAAGGACAGGGTCCTAAGCAGTACTAAACAGTTTTTGCTATTTAGTCAAAGTCAACCATTAAAGATGCTAATTACTTGAAGGCCTGTTTGCTGGACTAAATACTGGGCTGTCCTCATTCACACTGACCGCTGGAGGTTAAAGGTTGCTATGCTGTGGTGAGAGGTGTTTAAAATAGGCATAGTGTTTAAAAAAATCTGATCACAAATTAGATATACTGCCTGTAAAACTAATATGTCATTC